TTTTGCCCCGGGCTGTCAACTCGCTGAGTCCTTCGGGCCAATACTTGACATTATTGTAGGGATCGTTAGGAGTCCAACTGACCGGTGCCCTCTCGCCGTGTTTGTGGACCACTTGTAACAGTTTGAGTGTCGAGATGTCATGGTTTGGCCACTTCTGCGACCCATCACTACCGCTCAGACATAATGTCAGAGCAAAGACTGTCAGAAATATTAGTTTCATTTTTATTGTTTTTAAATAAATTACAATTAATTAATTGAATTTTATTAAAACTGTTTGAAACAAATTGTTTAATAATTTGCCTAAAATTCTGGTCTTTATATAGTGTTTTTGGTTCAATTGTTTTGAACCAGTTTTTGCCAACTTATTGACTCTTACTGTGAATTATAATCTGATATTTTAATATTTTTTAGGCAACCAATCCATTGGTCTGTTATCAGACCTCCCGATTACCACTTTGTTAAATGTGAAATTAATTAACTAAATAAATACTTTGAATATTAAAGTGAGAGTAAAACAAAATTATCAAATGTAGGCTATTTATCAATTAAATATATTATAGAGTTAAAAATAACTATTTTGTAATACACAACAACTAATTAATACTTCTGTGGGGTTTATCCATAGCTTTGTGTGAAAAGTGCTATAAAATCCAACCATATCTCAAGTAACTGGCGTTTGCATTGAGACAAATCTGTGGGTCATATTAATGGGAGGGCAACACCGGGTGCGCCGACAAACTACAGGAGACTGTCAGTACAGAAAGTGCTTTACACTTGATTTTTATCGGTGTTATAATTTATAACGTATAACTTATAAATCATAAGTAGTCTAAAAAAATAATTATATCAAAAACAGCTCTCATTAACGGCTTCCTATCAGCAAAACAGTTGTAATGTGGGTCTAAATTAGGAAATAATCTCTACTCAAACTTGTTATCACTGAACAAAGATTGGCACTTTTTAAGTGTCAATTAATCAATGTATTAAATATATAAATAAATGTTTAAAATAGCATAATAATTATTTAGTTTGTTATACAAAATATCACTATTAAACCAATTATTAATTATGAAAGCGTTAATATACTATATATTTGTATTGTCTATATTGATAGCGATTGGGACAGAAGGACAGCACGACGTCTCGACCCTAAAGTTGCTGCAAATAGTGCACCGACACGGAGACAGAGCGCCCGTCAAAAAAATATTGACCAAAAATGATCCGTTCAAAGACGAGGACAAGTATTGGCCGCAAGGCTTTGACGAGTTGACCGCCGAAGGGAAGTAAGACTCTTCGCTTACTCTCTGGCGCTGTACTCCTCTCTCTCTCTCTCTCTTCCATATCGTTTGAATTCAAATCCCATTTGTATTAAATGTATGAATTGTTGCTAAAAATCATCTTTTGTTTGAAACGCAACTCTTTTCAATAGAGATGTAACACATTATTGTTACCAAAGGTATAGTCTATTGGATATACTGTATATGGATATCATCAATATATTGTTATTACCTTTAAAACCTAACCTTTATTAAATTTATAGAATTATAAATATTAAAGAAATTAATAAATTGTTTTCATAATAGAATTACATTAAATTTTATTTTTATAAACTGTATTTAATTAATTTTTAATTTCATAGTTATTTGTTAAATTGTTTATTATTAAATTAAATTAAAATTATTAAAAAGAATTATATAATGTAAAAGAATTTTAATATAATTACTATATACAGTAAATGTATTACTGTAAATCTTTATATTAAATTTCTTGTAATGTTGATAACGCAACCATGTAATAATATCTTAAAACAGATAATTTTGTTAATTAATATTATAATTATCTTTAATTAATAACATTTTATCGTCCGGTCGTTTCGGTCATTGAATTATTGCAGACAATATGTGTGCCATTCAGTGATATCTTATCTGAAATTGCATTTCATGTGTTGTACTAAACCTCAACCCAACCGTCTTTGTTGGCCTCTCTCTCTCTCTCCCTCTTCCACATCGTTTGAATTCAAATCCCATTTGTATTAAATGTATGAATTGTTGCTAAAAATCATCTTTTGTTTGAAAAGTAACTCTTTTCAATATAGATGTGACACATTATTGTTACCAAAGGTATAGTCTATATATGGATAACACAATGGATATCATCGATATATTGTTATTAGTAATAAGTTATTACTAATAACTTATTACCTTTAAAACCTAACCTTTATTAAAGATTATTATAAAATAAAATAAATTAATAAATTGTTTTCATAATAGAATTACATTAAATATTATTTTTATAAACTGTATTAATTAATTTTTAATTTCATAGTTATTTGTTAAATTGTTTATTATTAAATTGAATTAAAATTATTAAAAATAATTATATAATGTAAAATAATTTTAATATAATTACTATATAAATCTTTATATTGAATTTCTTGTAATGTTGATAACGCAACCATGTAATAATAACTTAAAACCGATTATTTTATTAATTAATATTATAATTATCTTTAATTAATAACATTTTATCGTCCGGTCGTTTCGGTCATTGAATTATTGCAGACAATATGTGTGCCATTCAGTGATATCTTATCTGAAATTGCATTTCATGTGTTATCTCTCTCTCTCTCTCTCTCTCTCTCTCTCTTTCATACTCACCAATTGATATATACGTCCATCCAATTCACACAACTATTACCTAAACTTTTGCGTTCAAAACTCTTGAGGGAATTTCCCCTTATATTTGTTTCGGCCAACAATTTCACTCATACAGTGAGTCGAGTGAAGTCCCCGAACGGCATATTTATAGTATGAGCCAAAACCAGATCAGAAATCTCCTCATTTCGATGCCTTACTTCTTAGACCCAAACGGCACGGGAATGACAATCACTGACGGACTGAGAGTTTTATATAGAAATATAGTGACAAAGAAAGGCAAAAGTGAAGCAAAATATTTTGCCATTCAATTGAGAGAAAAACAACAAATCTTTGGTTAAAATGACAGAATAAACTAGATTTTTACAATCACTGACCATATTTATTCTAGAATCTAAATTTGCATTAAATATATTATTGAATATATCCATAACTCACTATAAAGTAAAGTAACCATTAAAACAAAACATTCTAACATAATGTCAAATACTGTATACTTTGTTTAACAATATTATAGATTCGAGTTATGTTTGACATGTATATAAACTTTACTTTATAACAGAAATCAATTGAATAAATACAATAAACTCAACAAAAAACAAAAGTTTATTTAAATAAAAGAGTTATTTGACTACATTTTTTGTGTCAAACATTTTTAAAGCACATGAAAAATGTTTGATTAATACAAACATTTTGCATAAATCCAAACACTGTGTAAACAATATACAAAAAATGCAAAAATATCTCATTTAGTGCATTAATTTATTTTATTTGAAAAAACATTTGTTTGCAAATAATTAACTAATCGTAAAATTTTATAATTTTATAAAACTCAAAAACCCATGATTTGATGATTATTATCTAATTATTATCTAATTTATTGTATAAATTAATTTTTTGACCAAAATTTTTCAATATCATGTTTTTTAATTAGATGAATTGCGGTGTTTAGTGATGGCAGTGACTCTATTATACTGATTATTGATTTGTGTATTATATTAAATGTCTTTTACTTTCCGGTGTCGTATAGACAGACAAACATTTTGCATAAATCCAAACACTGTGTAAACAATATACAAAAAATGCAAAAATATCTCATTTAGTGCATTAATTTATTTTATTTGAAAAAACATTTGTTTGCAAATAATTAACTAATCGTAAAGTTTTATAATTTTATAAAACTCAAAAACCCATTCAATTATTATCTAATTTATTGTATAAATTAATTTTTTTCAATATCATGTTTTTTAATTAGATGAATTGCGGTGTTTAGTGATGGCAGTGACTCTATTATACTGATTATTGATTTGTGTATTATATTAAATGTCTTTTACTTTCCGGTGTCGTATAGACAGTAGTGTTTCTGTCGTCCCTTTTAGGGCTTTTGGCTCTTCCTTAGAGACAANTTTTTCAATATCATGTTTTTTAATTAGATGAATTGCGGTGTTTAGTGATGGCAGTGACTCTATTATACTGATTATTGATTTGTGTATTATATTAAATGTCTTTTACTTTCCGGTGTCGTATAGACAGTAGTGTTTCTGTCGTCCCTTTTAGGGCTTTTGGCTCTTCCTTAGAGACAAACTCAGAGCACAACCAAAAACTTTCAATAAATGATTGAAATAAAAGTTATTTTCTCTTATACTGTATGTACTAAACACTATACCATATATAACCATAAGAGCACTGGTTTGTAGCCATCTCTGACCAAAACGTGAGACAAATATTCAGTGCAAACCATTATTCTGTATATAAGGAATATTCTCTCTCTCTCTCTCTCTCTCTCTCCCTCCCTCTCTCACTCTCTCTCTCTAATGCACTCACTTTTTACATGTTTTTGTTAGTCATATCACATAACGAATTGTCAGACCGTTTGGACACGTCTTCATACATAAAGGCAATCGAAATCTGATGATAGCTTTCGTGACAGAGTTTTCAAACTCTTATTTATTTTAATATATTTTTGTGTGAATTTTACAAAACAAGTAAATAACGAAAAAAATGGACACGTCTTCATACATAAAGGCAATCGAAATCTGATGATAGCTTTCGTGACAGAGTTTTCAAACTCTTATTTATTTTAATATATTTTTGTGTGAATTTTACAAAACAAGTAAATAACGAAAAAAATAAAATTCAAAACAACTTATAAATGTACTCAATAAATGTAAAGGGCTTTTCAAAAATGACACACTCTTCAAGATAAATATTGTCCATTTTATTTAAGTTTTGGCGGAAATTAAAAGTAGAATTTTTTACTATTGTCTAAAATTTATTTTTTAGTATTTTATTTAATCAAAATCAAATGAATCTTATGATTGTTGCATAATATGCCAAATAATATTAAGCATTACATTCCTTATCAAAGTCTGTGTACAACAAGTGTTTTGTTGATTCAATGTATTTATTGAATGGACAATCGGTTAACGACTGGCAGTCACCCCAACTGAGCAAATGAGGTATCCCTTCATTAATTGTGGTCTCGTTTTGATAGAAAGCTCTCACAAAATATTCATTAGTTTTATTGTTTTGGTGTAATTCAAAGAGAAGGGTCGCACCGAAGGGCGGAAAATCACGGTTTGACAGATTGAGTGCATTGATTAGTGCGGCAACAGTTGAGTCGTGCGTTGAGTATACGTATAGTTTCCGATCGTTTTTATTGTCCACCACTTTCTGGTTATTATGGATCAACTGTGAGGCCAAACCGCCGCCTCTCAGCCGTCTGATGACCGGACTGTCCCAATCATATCGGAATTGAATTTCTCGCGATAAATACAAGTCGTCGATCATTTTCTTCTCTTCCTCCTGAGTCCACGTCTTATTCCAGATGTAATTGCGAGCGAATTCAATCTGCAGTGTATCCCACAAAATGGCTGCATCTCTGATAGATTTAATATACCATCCGCTGGCCTCCGATGCCTTCTTATATACTTCTTTCTGACTTTCAGTAAACTTTTTAAGTTCCGGTCTTTCAAATATCTTTGCCCTCTCCGCGTCCACAAGCGGACAGTTTTTGTCCTATTGATTGTCGAATCACAAGTATTATCACATAAAATAATTGATTGCAGTAAATAAATACCTCATTGCAAACCAGATCGTCTTCGTGTGGCATAAAAGTCTGGATAGGAATGGGTTGCCAGGAATGAGCCAACTTAGCGTCCCCTCCGATATCCCAAATCCAGTCTTGAGTTTTGGGCGGATAAGCGCCGGCCAATAGACTGGATGTGCTTTCAATGCATCGATCGGTGATTGAACTTCTGTCAAACACCTCTCGGGGCGAGTATTTATCGCCCAAATAGTCGTTATACTCTTGTCGTATGAATTCTCCCAATTTATACATACGATACTTGCCTTTGAGGGCCAGTTCTCCGCCCCCTT